AGTAGTCTCGTTCGGGGTGTCCCTGGCCCAGGCGATACCAGCCCGGAGCTCTGCGCACCTCTCACACGAGGGCCGCTAGCCCTACCCGGGGGGTGGCCCCGCCCCGCCCCGCCCCGCCCTGGGTGTAACGGCCGAGCTGCGCAGGAGGCCTGAAACTGAGAGTTGGCGGGGCCGCCGTTCGGCACGGGGCCCCAGCAGCAGCCCCACGGGGGATTTGAACTCTCGCGCGCGATTGCTTTTGTGCCGCATTGTAGCGATACGACCTGACCCCGACCCGCCGCGGGCGTGGCGTCCTTGCCGCTGCTGCCAGCTCGGCCCGTCTGCCAGATTTCAATTTCATCAACAGAAAAGGGGGGGGGGGGCTGCGTTCTACTGCGAGTAGAGCTCCTTGACGCCGTCCTTGGCGTTTGTTCACCGCGTCGAAAAGAAAATGAGAAATAAATCAAATCCCGCTCGCCCGTCCCCGCGGCCCGCAGCTTTTCTCTCTCGCGTCCGCTCTCCTCCCCTCCCCATTCTCGCCGTTTCGCGGCTCATCTCAAATACAATAGGCTTTGCCTCGCGCCTGGCCCCCGGGCTAGACAAAGAACCAGCAATTTTTGCGACTGCCTTTTATGCCGCGTGGCGTCTGTCTTCTTGGCGAGTGGATTTATGAAGGAATTTCTTGGCACTGTCGATACGGCGACGGGCTCCTATGTGGCGTGCACGTTCACGGTGCAGATTTGGGACCCCCTCCTTCCCCTGCGTCGCACTCTTTGTCCTGTCTGGCCTGTGCAGTCTCAGGTAGCGGCGGGGGTGGAGAAGGAGGGCGAGCGCACCAGCTGCATCTGGCTGGTGGCAGCAGACAGCCACGCCCCTGCTCCCCCTCCCCCTTCCGTCTGAGGGGGGTGGGGAGGAGGGGGAGCAGTGAAAGTCTGCGCGTGTGTGCGTGCGACAGACTGGAGCGAATGTCTGGACGGGTAGGTAGGGCTGATTGATTTATTTTTGGTGCAGGCTGGCGCGGTCGTGTGACTGCTGCCCCCTCCCTCCCCATCCCTCGTGGACCCGCATATCCCTCGCGGCCGGCGGCCGCCGTCTCCTCCCGACGCGCCACACCACCACCATGCTCTCTCACCCCCCCCCCCCCCCTCTTGCCCTTTCTCCGTATCGACCGCTTGCTTCAATTGCAAATTAGCCCCCGAACGGCTGCGGCGTGGGCTCTGCTCGGGGACGTCGCCGGGACCCTCCTTGGTGTGGTGTGGGGTCCCCCCCTGATGTCATGCAGTATGCTTGGGAGAAAAGGGGGGAGGGGGTGATTCCGCACGTCCAGTAGTGGGGTGCCTTCTGTGCTCCAGGATTGCAACTTGGAGGATATATAGGGGACGACCCGGAATCGCTGGTGATTTTTATTTTGTGAACGCCATGGTCCGGGAGGCCCGCGCCGCCGTGGAGGTCCGTGTGGCGGTGGGTGGGCGCGAGGGCGTTCCGCTTTAAAATCGATATGGTACAGCGGCGCAAGGGTCCGCTGCTGCGCGAGGCGCGGCGGTGCTGCTGCTGCTGCTGCTGCAAGGGCCGCCGCCGCGGAGCCCCCGCATGCGGGCTGCAAAGGGGAAACGGGGGGAGGGCGAAATTGTAACGGAGCACTAAAAGCCAGCAGGCGGCTCAGGAGGCAGTTCTTCGAGTGGAGCAGCAGCAGCTTGCAGCAGCAGCAGCAACCCCGGGGCCGACCTCAATGACGCGCTCCGCACTTGAGGACCGCGGCGGGCAACGCGTTGCGTCAGCCTTATCTATGCGAGCGAGCAGCACCGCGAGCGAGCCGAGCACGGCACGGGACCCAGACGCACCGGGTCGGGGTCAGCCCGCGGCACGCGGCCCACGACTCACTCGGGGCGCCCTGCCGCCTCCGCCGCCTACCGCCCGCCCCCCTCGCCCCGGTGTGGGTCATTCCTATTTCCATTTGCAACGCGTTAGTTAGAGGAAGTGGTGCCCTCCCGCCTGTGCGAACGCACCTCAGAGTCGGACTCTACACGCACTCGCCCTGGTGCTCTTGCATGACGTGCACGCCCTCGCCTAGCCATGGCGATGCCACCTCCATGGCCCTCACTTGTCGCGGGTCGCCAGACAACACGTGCGGGTCACACCACGCGCGGGTGCTTTGCAAATACCCCTCCCCCCCTCTCCCCCTCAAAATTAACGACGACGGTCGACGGCGACCCATGTCGAGTTCATTCAAGGTAGCCGTTGATGTCCTCGTCGTCGCGGTGTCCCCTGACCCGGGCCGTGACGTGGCCTTGGTCCCCGTCCTGCCCCGCCCCGCCGCCGCTCCATTTCTCCCGCTTGTTCCCGGCCCGTTGCATAAGGGCGGGCCGTGGCCGGGGCCTGGCCGGGGCGTTACACGGCTGCTTTCTCTCGCTCGCCTCGCCGCCGTGCCGCCGGTCGGTCTTGCAGTCCGCATGCCTCGGCTGCCCGGCCCGGAGCGGCCCGAGCCAAGCCGAACCGAGCTGGCTGAGCTGTACTACTGTAGGAGCGAGCGGGCCATTTCCCAATGTTTCCAATATCGTTTAGGTTGCTAAATAGACTTTCTCTCCTATCGACGTGTTGCGTGGGCGCCGCTGCCGCTGCTCCATGTACTGTACTCGGTTGGCCGCGGCGTGCCGTGTCGCAGCACTCACTAGTAGTAGTAGTAGGCGGCGAGGCGATGTCGTTTTATGGGGCTTTCAGCGCGACTATGGCTTTGCAGCTGCGTTTGGTCGGCGGCCAAACACCCCTCTGCCCCTCTGGCAGAAAAAGGTTGTGGTGGTGGTGAGCAGCGCCCCGCCCCGGCTAAAGAAAGAAAAAGAGGCCGGAAATGGAAATGGTGGTCGTGCTCGATACCGTAGTATCGGCGAGATGTCGCGGCGTCGCGAGCGAGATGGGGATGTGAGGTGAGACAGCTGCAGGTGGAGGAAGCCCCGTGGCGGGCCGGGGCCGGGCTCCACGACCATGCGTGGAGCGGGCGGGGATGGGAGGGGGTGCGCGGTGCCGCCGCCGCCGGCGCCCTACTTTGCAGGGAAGTTCCCACGCGGGCCTGCCGCCGCCGCCGCGGGTACCGGTGAGCCCCGCACTAGGGCTCGCCCCCCCC